TATATACAATTGGTTCACCCATAGCACACCTGAAAAAGACAGTGCTACACCACTACCTGTTTGCAGAAATACAAGCTGTAAATGAGCAACTAAGGCCAAAAATAAAACTTTAAAAAATCTTCTTTCCATGTCCTAGAGTTGACTTTTAAAGCTCTCATTCTGCACTAGGGAGTTCCCTTTCATTAAAAGGATATCCATGCAGATTTCCTGAACCATGTTGCCTTTCTTATGGTTTTTCTCCCAGTGGCTAGAAAAAAGTAAGTACATCACACAAATCTGAAGTATTTTCTTTCTGACCTTTTATACTTAATCCTCAGGTTCTAGACTAATTTATATGTGTATAGTAATAATTAATATTATATAGAACTATCTACTGCTGCAGCTGGCAAAAACTTATTTTCACAGGGCACCACTGGCAGTCTTTGCTTAGAATTAGTTGAAATTTTATGTCAACCAGATCTCCCTCAGTGCTCAGTCTGGAGCTGCATCAACAGCACCAAAGACATTCCCAGCACCAAAAGAAGGGAGAAAACCCCTTTAGCCTAATCACCCATGTTCAAGGGTTGGGTAGAACTGCAGGTTAAAACACTGCTGCTGTATAATCAGGGCTATCACACCTGTTTCTGGAGATTCCAGGCAGGTAAACAAACAACATGCCAGTCCTACAACTACAGCAAAAGCTATTTGTACTAAAGCAAGGGCATTAAAAAAAAAAAAAAAAAAAAAAAAAAAACCCAAAAGCCCAACCAACAAAACACCAAAATACAGCATTAATGTGCTAAAGAATTTTATTCTCTTTGTAGACCTATAGCAATTAATTTAACCAATTCTCATCCTCCTTAGCAGACTGCTTCATACCAGCAAATAATAAGTAAGGAGGCCAAAAATCCTCCTCCAATGCCAAGAGAATTGATGTATCTCCTCCACAACCCAAACATTTGGCAGTACAAATAAGAAGAAACAACATATCAAGTATACAATGTAAGAGAGAGCTACTGTCAGAAGGCCTTAAATATCAGCCTCCAAAATAATTCCCACTTCAACCAGCCCAGTAAACCATTCCAAGAATGGGGTGAGTCTTCAGAGAAAGGTGGAAGGAAGATTCAAACAGCTATAGATACAATAAATATTTCATTTAACCATACCTATCTTGGGCCCCAAAGGGCCTCAATTTGTATCTTTATTGTGCTTCAATAAATTATCTTCCAAATTGTGATACATACCTGCATCCCTCCTTGTGCAGGTTTGAGTCATATATGCTTGCTGTATTCTTGCCATACATATTGTCACACACTCACAGACTAGCTCTTTCTTGCAGAAACCAGATCCAAGCATGTAAAAATTCAAAATAGCTTCTTGATCTTGTGCAACCTCAGTTGCTTTTATATTATGAAAAGTAAAAGGCTTATTTTCACTGTATCAATTATTTGCCTCTATTTTCAAACTCCTTCACACTGACCAACTCTTTAAACTGGCATCCAACTTACACTCCAATCAATTGCCTTTTTAAGCCTTTTTTATTATCTCTTTTTCAACACCTCCTTGACATCTCACATTTTCAAATTCTTAAAGAAGCCTCCCAGAAACAGGCAATTTTCTGAGATGCTCATTTGATTTCCACTGATTCCATCTACCTTTTCATTCCAAGGGAAGGACTTACTTTTTTAGGGTTTTTTTCATGGGCATTCTTCTTACTGTGGGCATAACATGACCTTTCTTTGACTGTTCATTAATACAAACTAGAGTCCCCAGACACAACATCCTCACTTTTGATGCAAGGATCCTTTCCATTAGCCTCCTCATTCACCTTTGCCTTCTTCACTATGGTAGGAAAATCCTTAAGGCTTTCACAGGTTTCTTCTTCCAAGGATATTAAACTGAACAGTATATCAGTATGAAGGGCATAAAAAGGTGAATTCAGAATCCTGAGACAGGGCTTCCAGACATAATTTCCAATCATCTTTGACTTTCATCATCTATTTGCAGTTGCCAAAACTAGGACTATTTAATCAACTGGAGATAAAAGCTTTACAGTTTCCAGTGGAGAGAAAAAGCCCTGAGATTAAGTTTGTAAGCAATCTTTTTTCCTTCTTCCAATGAGTTTATAGAAGTCCAGCTTTGTCCACCTCCAGGTGGGGGGGGGGAGTAAAACCCCCAAAAACAAAAACCAAAAGATATCCCATGACACACCACCAACATTAAAAATAGCAGTCAGTAATACTATCATTTTAAGAATTGCTTACAGTAACAGAGAAAACTAATTATTTCTCAAAATTATTCAATAAAGATATCCAAAGTGTTCTTTTTTTTAAGAGAGAAGAAAAATTCCACATAGGAGGATACTCTTCTTCCCTCCCTGATAGCTTTTTGTCTACCCTTCCTTCTCCCCACTCACCATAGCCAGGAGAGAGATTGTGTCCCAGAGGCTGTCAGTCCCAGCCTGCTGCTAATTACATGTGCTCACAGCACCTATTGAGCATGCATGATACCTGGCCTGACTTCCAGAGGCATGGCACAACTGCCTACTCCCACTCAATCCATGAAAAATTGAAGTCAAACCAGCCAGGCTCTAACAGCCACATCTGGTTTCTATCATCAGCAAAACAAGAGTATATCACCCTCAGAAGAAATGAACCCTTGGAGCAAACCTAAGTTGCTGGAAACATGCAGCCTCTCCAAGCAAATAACCCTGGCAACAAAGCTGATCCCTGGATGCTACTGAGGCAAGTCCTGCTGTTGTACCAATTCCTCCATTCTACTGACTCAAGAGTGAGAACAAGCATAACAGGTCCCCACCTGCCACAGGACACTAAGATCACCTTTGTCAAATGTTAGTGACACATACTTCACACACTGCCTTCCATGCTGTCACCTACACCTTTACTGTGACTCAATTCAGGGAGATTTAACAATTTGGTTTAATAGTCAGCAGTTGATCATCAACCATGCAAGTTATTGAAACATTTTCTGTCAAGAGCAAGGAGAAATGCCAATGGCATAACATTTTAAAGAGAATTAATTAATTTTCATCTTGAATTTGTGATTTCCCGGTTCTTGCTGCTTTACAATTCAGTTGCCTTGAGGCTGAGAAAATAAGCACCACGGCTTCCTGCAAGCAGACTGGTACAGCTTTTAAAACTAATCAATGACAGACGGTAAGGCTACAACATTTCCAGCCACAGCATTATCTCACAAGAGGGAAGTATTTGCGCAATTACTTTATTTTAACTGCAAGGTCATGTTTGCAGAGCCAGATAAACACCAACATCAAACACATACTAAGGTCTTGGAGTATAAATAAGACAGAAGATAATCGTTTAATAATAGTGAAAAACACCTCACGCAGCAGCTGCGACTGCACTGAAGGATCCCACTCTCCTGAAAAGAAACTTCAAGCCTTCAGCACATGTCTCAAACTTGAGTGCAAAGCCAATAGCACATGTACATTCTCCACATAGAATACTCTAATGACTTTATTTTAAATCACCAGGCCTATCAAGGAAACACTGGGTTGTTAACTGCAGGTCCAACAACCTGGCACCAAGACCTGAACAGGTTTATTCCTCTCACAAAATACCACCTGCATTAGTGGTTGTATACAAACCAAGCTTACACAATCCAACGTGCCACCTAACAAGAACATAGCTAGCAGTTGCACTGTCTGCACAGCATGACTTCCTATTGACTCAAGTACCAACACACAGCTGGGCACAGGCAGGACAGCCCTGGATCATCCTTGTTTCTGCAGGGATAGTGAAGAAAATACTGAACACCCCAAGAACTCACTCTAGCAACACAAGTCTATGACCTGCTGGGATTTTATTAGTCCTGTCCCATTCCATTGGCTCCAGATTACTACTGCATTTTTTAAGAGTACACATACATTTGGAGGGGACTTATCCCTATGGCCTGAGGTGCAAAACCAGATGTCATGATCATTAGAACATCTGCTTGTGAAGAGGAGTGAAAACATACAAACTAGAGTTATAAACAAGGAGTTGGAAAACCTGATCCCCTGCTTCTGCTCACAGCTCTGCCATGGACTCCTTCTGGCCTTCACTAGCTGCTCAATCTTTCACCCGCTAAGCACAATGAACACTGTGATGACCCTGTCAGGAGAAGGACACAGTGGACCAGATGATGTTCTATGAGCTGAAGCACAGGGATGTTCTGAGGACACCTGATACAGAACCTGAGTCAGACTCCCTTCCTCACAGCTCTGGCACTCTGTGTCTCCCACAGGATCAGCTGTTACCCTGCCTGTGGCTCCATGCACACGTGGTCTCCTTCCCTATCAAACAATAACAATCCATGCACCAAATTAACAGCAAAACATACACTCCAAGTCTACACACACATTCACCTTCTCTCAAGGCATTTAAAAAAAAATCTACCAAAAGAAAAATACTGAAATAGGCACTTATTATTTATTACACACTATGCTTTCAGTCAGGCATTTCCCCGGAAAGAAAAAAAATCAAATTACTTATTTTCTGCCTTTTTTATTCACAAAGTCAATTCTTACAGAAAACACAGGGAATTTATTTACTCTTGTGGAAAACAAATATGTTTACTTGACAAAAATGAACACTAGGAATGTAATTCAGAACCACCAACCACCAAGAATCAAAATTCAGTCCTTATGCTTAAAAAGCATCAGAGCATCAAAAATGTATTTCTATAGGCATAAGAAACACTGGCATGGATTTGTCAGGACCTGAGAGACAGGACTGGGCATAGAAGCCACAAGATCTGTCACTAACTTGATCTGAGACATCAGATAAACAACTTCACCCCCTCTCAGTCTCACCTTACACTTCAGTAAGCCAGTAATGATAAAATTACCTGCCTCACTACATGGGTGGAGAACGCTTTAGTAATTCATGACTACAAAGCAACTTGAGAACTGTGGATATAAAACTTGTACATATACACACATATGCAAATTAAAACAGACAGGTATTATATTTATAAATTAAAGCCAAGTTAGCAGATATTACCCAAAAGCTCCAGTCAGCACTCCAGCTATACTGAGCAGGACCCTGCATTTTCTCTGTGCATGAATTAAGAGTCTCCTCTGAATCAGCAAGTAGCTGGTTAATAAGACCATGATCCACTTCATGAACTTCCTGTGAACAAAGAAGTAAGGTATGTAATCCAGCAGTGGTGGAGAAAGGTGAAACAAGATGGTTAGTCCATTTAACAACTGTATATTAAATGAAACCTGACATGGTAGTTTCACCAAGGTGAGTGGCATGGAAATACTTCCACGAACATCTCTTTCATTGGTTTTATTTTGTTCCCCCTAGACTACACTATATTTAATTATATTTTACATTTTTTTATCAAAGTATTTTATTTCCAGCGCAGCCCCCCCACCCAACTTGCATGTTGAAGCTACACAGATATTTAGAACTCAAATAACATCAACACAAGACATCAGTGCCTAACATGCAGCACATCTCAGGAACCTGTGAGACCTTTCAGAACTTGAGAAAAGTCATACAGGTGTAGCATGTTTACCAGACTACTGACATATATTATTATAATACTGATACATCAAGTGTTTATACTTACCGTTAGTTACACTATAAATTGTACAGAAATACAAACACCTCAGAGACAAGTAATTTGACTCATAACACTATTAAGATAATAAGCAGCACTGTTTTCTAATTCTGTAGCACTCTCCATTGTTATCAGTATTCTTCACTTTGGAAGTCAGTTGTACTTTATGAAGGGAAACTGAGCCACGGAATGTCACTTGTGCCATCCCAGCTAGCAAACGGTACAAAACCAGCCCAGGGCCCTAACCAGTAACCCCGCCTGTAGTACCGGATCCGCCGGGCTGAGGTAACGCCGGGTTTCAACTCCAAACCAGCTCAGAACCGGGACAATGTTGGGCCACCCCGCCCAGCGCTGCCGCGGCCGCGGCCCGGGCTGGGGACAGGCTGCGGAGGGGACAGCGGGGCGAAGCAAAGGCACAGGCACTCCGGGCAGCGTGGGCTGAGAGCAGAGCGGCCCCCGCGGGGCTTTTCCACGCCAACACCCGCACTCGCTGCAACCTCCACCAGTTGCTGCCCGCCCGCTCCTCCCCACCAAACGCCGGGGCTCAGCCCGGCAGCCCCGCGGCCGCCTCCCCGCCGGCTCTCCCGGGAGCCCAGAGCCTCCCTGCGGCGACGCGCGGGGCGTTCGCCGCCCCCCTCATCGGGGCTCCCCGAGGGCCCCCCTGCCCCTGGCCCCGCCTCGCCCCAAAAACTTTGGGGAGGTGGGTGGGGACGGCGGAGCTTCCCAGCGCTGCCCGCGGGGCCGCGCCGCCGCCGGCCGTCCGAGGCCCGCCCGTGCGGCTGCACGGGAAGGGAGCGGGGCTGCCGCTGCCCGCACCTACCTAGGCGGCCCTCCGGTGGCCCGGGGGGGCGGCGGGGCGGCGGCCGGGGGCACGGAGCCCGCCGGAGGGGCGGGCGGGGAGCGCAGAGCGCGGCGCTTACCATGGAGGGGGGCGAGGGCCGCGCGGCGCCCGCCAGCTGCCTGCGCGGGGCGCACGGCGGGGCCGCGGCCGCCATTTAAAGGGGCCGGCGCCGGCCGCGCTGCCGGCCCGCGGCGGGAGGAGGTTGCCAGGGGCGAGCGGCGCCGCTGCTCCCGAGGAGGGGGAGCCGTCATGGGGGGCGGAGAGCGCTGAGGCACCTACGGTGCCCTCGTCGCCCGGCCGCGGCAGCCCCTCTGCGGCTTCCGCACGGGTTAACTGGGAAGCCTCCGCGCCGGTGGAAAGTTTAAGGGCTGTAGTAGGAAAAAACTCCCGGCTGCGGGGAGTGAGGGGGGGCAGCGTTCGCTGCCTCCTGCCCGAGGAGAGCCCCGCGCCCGCCGCCCTCCGTGAGCGCAGCCGGTTAAACAGCGCCCGGGCAGCGAAACGGCTCCCAGATCCTGGGTTCGTGGGACGCGACGGAAAACACTGCCGAGAGGCCGCTCCGGGGGACTCCTAGGGGGAGAGGGGGAAAGGCTGGCTGCGAGCCGAGCGGAGGATGAGGTGACATAAAGGCAGTCGGTGAGGGGGATTTCACCCCATGAAACCTTGGGTCTCAGTTTTGAAGCTGCTGAGCAGCGCCGAGTGGTTTCTGCCCCAATCTCTGAGCACCCGGAGGGCTCCTCAAATCAGGGCACCCAGCCAGAGCGACCATGGCTCGCAGATTTGCACCCTCAGCTCACCTCACAGGAAAAAGGAGAGCCCTATGATGTGCAAAGAAATCACATTGCTAGGTAGTTGGCTCGTGAGTGGATGGATGGATGGATGGATGGATGGATGGATGGATGGATGGATAAAGTATGGATGGGTAAAGTAGCCTGTTGTGTCAATGCTACTTCCTTCTGTTGTCCCCTTTCTCTCTGCCTCTTCCCCGGGAAATGCGTGGAGGCTCCCTTTGGACATCTCAGGGTGCTGTGATACCTGCTCACTGCTACATTAGAAAAAGTACCTGAAGTTCCGTGGGTGACATCCTATTCCATCTGTTGGCCCAGACAGGACAGTGTTAATCCAAGCAACTGCTTAATTAAATTTACAAGAGAGTGTAAAAAAGAATGTGTGGTTTGTTTCATTTTTGTTCCTTGCTTTCTTGATATGCGCCTGAAACTTGAATTTTGGGGGCTTTTTTCAACAACACTCAGGGTACCGGTTTATTTTTCTTCTTGTCCAAAAACTGAATCATACTGGCTTATTCAAGTGAGAGAAACTTCATGCTCAGCTACTGGCTGCCAGCAACACTAACCAACGTCCTTTGTATTCCCTCAGTTAAAAGCTGGCTGACCTGGCACTTTGGCTCAGGCATGGCCTACTTAATGGAGGATTCACAAGAGAATTGCTAGTTCCGGATGACATGAACATAAATAGCATTTGCAGGAGCAATGGTGGTATGTCCATGACAACACACTTGAAGGGTTTTTTTGAAGCACACCAAGTACTTGGTTTAAATCAGGCAGTGTTTGGATTGCCTTTGGTTCAGATCCATCTTTGCACGCTGACTCCTCTGACACAAAGTCACAATCAGCACTCCAAACCAGTAACTCACTCCAAAATCCTCATGATCTGCCAGGTGCCTTCGACTCTACTGGTTGTTCCCTCATCAAACTCTCTATTGTTTTTGACTCCTCTGACTTTTCCTTTCACGATATTTTGGCTTTGCTCACTAATACTTTGGCAGTACTTCCTCCGGAAGACCCTCACAAACTTCCATCTTCCTTTTGAAGTGCTCTGTTGCTCTGCACTTGGTCCCAGTTCCCTTCCTAATATGATTCCTGCCTGGTAATCACAGGCCTTCCCAAGCCATTTCAGAAAAGTATTTGTCTCCTAGGTTCTTTTGACCATACTCCCTCTAGCCCATCCTGCTTTCACTGCTTCCACTGCTTTGGGATCTGCACACCAAAGCTTAAGTGACAACTGGTGACTCCAGGAATGGGCTGTTCTTCTTGACATTGGTCAGCCAAGTTTTGTGAATCAGTTATGGATTCTTTTGGCTTTCAAATGCAAAGAAAAGCAGAAATACTCATGCCTCTCTCAGCTGCATTGTGCTTTAAGAGTAATGGAATTGAGTCTTTACTGGACCCTCAAGCACAATTCCATTGCCTGGAGAGCTTTGAAGATACAGATAGAAGACATTAGATAAAGTATGCCATAATCCCTAATCCTGCAGTTGAGGGAAGAGGTGTCAGCCAGATAGTGACAGTAGTCCATGCTTGGTACAGGCATAGCACAGCTGGCAGGGCTGGGTGGTACAGGTGGGGCTTGGAGCTGCTGTAGCTCCTCTCACAGGGTCCTGCTCTGTGTGGGCTTTCTATAAACACAGACTACTTCAGAGCACACCTGCTGGTTTTGCAGATAGGCCGCCCTCTCCAGCAGTTTCCCCCTCCACCCAAGTTGCATAGACAAGCTCTACTTAAATATAAGTAGAGTTTAAGTAGTCAACTTTTGATGAAAAAGGTTTTGTTCTGCACTAAAAAAACACTTTGGGGAATACACTTAACCTGTAAACACCATGTGCATATAGCCACAAAGATACTAAGTTCCTGAAGTTTCCTTTTGTGGTGCATTAGGGTGATAATGTGGTGCATTAGAGTCTGGCTGTTCAGAAAATTAAGCCAATGGTCTTTGTGTTCTCACCATCACTAGGGAGGGGTTCAGCACAAGAGTGGTCTCCTTTGGAGTATCTGGATATTCTCTACTCAGCCCAAAGTTGTGGTTTATACAAGCCAAAAGCGAAAAACAATGAATTATCTTTCCTCTGCTCTCAGAGCATTTTCAACATGTTCTCAGAGAGAGATCAGAACAGCCGCTGGGGAAATAATTGTTGTCACTTACAATGTGGCTCTCATCCAGGGACCAGGCAGAGCACTGTGAGCTCAAAGCTGTGGTAACTTTAGTAAGTGTGACATTCACTAGGCAGAATGTGAGGTCCCATTGCTATAATACACACACACACATATTTTTTACCCGTACTACCAGAGGGAGAGATGGTGAGGCCATGTACTTCAGCAACCATGGACCAGCACATTGGGAAGCTCTATAGATCTGCAGTCTCTTCATTCATCTTCTTCTTGATGGTGGGTGAGTACTAAACCACCTTCCTTAATTAGAAGAAATACGGGTTGTTCTTGGAAGCTTGGCTTGAGAAGTTCTCTTTATTTTCAAAATGCAGCTTTCAACTGTGAGCTTCCTGAGGGTGCAGGGAAATTGTATTTAGTGTTCAGAAAGAGTTTATTTGCCTGTCTTTTCCCAGATGTGTCTCGTCATTCCTAGAAGCTTCATTTCTGTTTTGTTTCTCTGATATATTAGCCACCAGTTATTGTCACAAAGTTCATATTCATATTCATATCAGGTTTGTGAGAGCCAACCTCAGCCCAGGGCAAAAGTCATATAAATTAAAAGCAGCAATGTGCAGTCATTGATCACTTAATCATAGATGTCTGAGAGCTGGATACAGTTTGAAAAGCACCTTCATGGCACCAGCATGGTATGAGTGTGAAGCTGAGATCTAAAGCAAACAAAACCATCTGAAAGACAGTAATTTCATCAGCAGAGGATTTTTTTTGTGGGTTGGAAATTGAGCCCTATTTGCCCTCAACCCCTCCTCCAGCTACT